TCACTTCCTGCCCCTAGGCAGTTGAATCACTCCATGTAGAAGGATGAATGTCGCTCACAGTTGCGTGAACAGGTAACTATGGCAGCACCCATCCTGTAGGTAGCAGTGCAGTGACTTGAGGTCTTGCCCAGGAGCTGCTGAAAGAACTGGATTGTGACACACTCTGTGGTCTGAGCTCATTGAGACCCACAGCCTGCTGAGAAAAGAACAGAACCTGGGACTTATGTGATGGATGACTTCTCTAGTCACTCAGCCATTACAGAGAAAAAGATGCACAACATGATTATCATCACCCTCTCCTTCTCCTCCTGACACGTCTGAATGAAGGTGGCTTTGGTTACTCAACTGAATGCTGATAACAACAGTGTCAAGAGCTGCCATTTTTATTCAGAGCACACTAACTGATGTTAAAGCTTGGTACCAAATTTGTGAATCCCACATGGCCTAGGAGGACATGGTGCCTGTGAATTTATTAGCTTTTGCTACTCAAGCTCTGTCCACCCACTACCATTTTGACTAATCTATGTTGTACAATGATTCTTCCTGCCCTCCCCTTTTTTAAAAAGAAGCTAACCCACTATCTGCTTAAAAAATAAATAAATAAGATACGAATAATAACAATAATAGTAATAACAAATAGGCTTGGTTATACAGAAAACACACAAGGGTTTGTTTCACAAGGTACGTACATCAGTCAGACAACAGAGGGTGACACCAAACAGCGTAATTAAGCTTCCGCTCTTAAGTGCCCACAGAGGAGGCTCAGTCTGTTGCCTACAGCAGGAGCTTCAAATAACCAGCTAGCTCAGTTAAGCATTTCAATGTCCCATACCATCTCCCCTTCAAGGGTTAAAATGGTCTCACCTTGCATTTATTCACACCCACAGCAAAACCCTTAGAGGTAAATTTTTTGTTGATGAACTAAAAGTGACGGGAAAGCTAGAGAGACAAGAAAAGGCAACATCTGTCACATCCAGCCCTAAGAGTGTCATTCTGACAAAGGTCTCGCTCACCCACACCTGGCCTGTAATTAGGCACCGTGTGGGCAGGTCCGCACCCACGGCGGTGGGACTGAGTCCAAGTGAAAAGAGCCGGGAACAGCCGGGGCTTGACAGGAGCCACCTGAGTGGAGCGTACAAAGCAGCAACGCGGTCTGCAGTCAGCGGTAAGTGACTGAGGAATTGGGAGGATTTGGGGGTGATTGTCCTTGCTAATGGATGGCTGGGGCTCCTGCTTAAAAAAGACAGGCTGAACAGTACAACTAGTGGTCCTCCAAGTGATACTGAGGAGACCCTTGGCAGCAGAAACAGGGCTGAAAATTTTTATTCCAGTAAATCCCAGCAGGAGATGGTCCTATCTGGGACACTGCAGTGTAGCTAGGAAAACTGTGTGGATTCAGTGGGCTAAGGTAATTAGGCAGAGAATATTTCCCTTTATTTTTAAAGAAAGATCAAATGATGGTATTTCCACCTAGAGTCTGGACTCTTTTCTAAGAAAAAATACACAAGAATACAAATAATAGCTAAAAAGAAAAATTAAGAATTATTAGGAGCATTCTAAATGTAAAGGGAGAATGGAAGTGAGGAAGAATCAAAGCTGTTATATATAAGGATGAGACAAATAGGATGTGTTTTAGTAGAGCACAGCTTATGGAGTAAGTTGTTATCAGCAAGGGTCATTCTGCACCTCAGAAATGGCAACAGGCCAATAGCGTTGGTCTTAGAGCTGGCTAAAAGTAACAGTAGCCTACCTATGAAGAACAATAGTGAAGCCCTGGAAAGCCAAAAGTGGCCAGATCACGGCTGCAAGTCAGCTGAAGGATCCCCAGTTAGCCTGGAATTGGCACAGCCACCTCCCCAAACTGAATCATAGGTTGTTTTTTGTTTGTTTGTTTGTTTTAAATATGATGCTTGTAGTTAGATTAAATAATCATAATTGTATGTTTTACTGTCAGAACACCACTGTAGGGACAAGGTGAGAACCTATTATTTAGAAGGTCAAAGCAGATGGTGTTAAGTATGTCTCTAAATCAGGAAATATTTAATAGGTTTTCTTTGTTATTATCCTGACATTTCTTTCAGTTGTACACCATTTCTAAGTGACTGACAGAAGCAATTTGAAAGCCCAAATCTTACTGTAATCTCTAGTGATGAACAAATACATGTATGACTTTGCATATTTACTGCCCTTTTATTGGAGTGCTTCCCACATTTAACGCCTCAAGAAAAGAATTTGCATCAGTATTCTGAGTCATTATGGGAGCCTAATGCCCTAGTTCACTGTCTCAGACTCAGTTTAAGAGGTCAGTAGATGCTCACAAAACTCTAATACCCAGACCAGGCAATGTATGTGAACCCTGTTTTGCCTTACCTTGACACCTGTGATGTCCAGAACCTTTTTCTTTCTGCAGATCACCTAACAGCTTTGCTCCACTATGAGATTGATTTGTCTACTCTTAAATTTCTTGGTTTCAGTGCTATTCATTTAGAGTCAGTTTCCTTCTGGAGAGCTTACCTAAAAGCTGGTGAGCCAGCAGGAAAGGAGACTGGCTAAATGCCCAGATGCTCTTTTACTTATTATTACTTGTTTGTACTGAAGCAGAGCCAAAGTGCCTTCATCTTGAATCTTACTATGGGCAATTTATAACCACATCTGAGGGATGGGGAGGAGACTGAGATGAAATTAAGTCTTCTACCAATTACGCCAATTACTCTGCTCACCTGAATTAGTTCACTATATCACCAGCACTAAGCCCAGACCTGTGCACATTTGATAAGCTGGAGAAATGCTCTTGCTGTGTGTTAGCTACTGAACATGGACTGTGCCTGGAAAAGGTGTTATGTATATTCTTGTACAGAATGGGCTAGACCACCTCTACAAAATATACAGTTCAAAAAGTTATAGTGTATTTTCTGGTATTTATATATGGGTAAATACATACATGTTCCCCTTTATGAGGCCTACAGATACTGCTGTAATATTTTTATCCATTTGTGGAACTTTACAATGTTTGGGTGTTCAATTAGTGAGTGGTATCTAAATGCCGCAGGCTCAAATACAGGCAATAAGTTTTTGGGAGAAGGGGAAATTAACTGGTAACTTATAGTCAGGGATTCTAGGCTAAACTCTGGATGACTTCTCTTTTGTGATGCCTTTACATTACTAACCAAGCACTACACAAACTACCAAATAGTATGAAAGGCTAAATTAAAGCCATCGGAAGATAGAAATGACAGAAACTGTTCTTTTTTCTAAGGACAATGCTGGAGCAAGAGATATAGGAAGTATGGTTGGAAGTAAGGAATAGGAAAGCTGGAAAGACAGAAATATAAATGGTGAAAAATAGGTTATATTTTGGGGGACAAAACACGCCTGTGCTTTGAGACTTTGTACTCCTAGGCGAAACATTCCTCTCTTCAGATTTCTCCACATTCCTTCTTTTCCATACTCACAATTGCCCAAGAAGTCTTTCTCTCAAACTTCTCCATTTTTTTAGTATCCCTCTTGAATTGTGCATACAAGCAGCAACAAAACCTCTGTACTTTTTAAATAATAATCCTCCTCCATGTATTAAATATATATTGTATATGTGCATGTGTGCATGCATATATGTCTCTCTAATCTGTGTGTGTGGATAAAGTCTGAAAAGTTCTTTAGCAATTCAAAGTTATTAGTAATATATCAGCAAAACCTCAAAGGCCTTTCCAGTTATTGCTTCCTCAAAATGTTCATCTCCATTTAGTAAATACAATACGCAGTGTGACAGCATTTACTCTCCCAAACAATAAAGATAATCCAAAATTAATTACCTGTGCTTTTTATTCACTAACCCTTTAGCCCAGGTGTCAGTACTTTTTGACCAGTGATACCAGTGCTGAATGTTCACATGCAATGTAATGCCAAGAACTGATTCTTCTAAAACCTTACTTAGTAATGATCCATCATAAACATTCAATAACTCAAAAGCCACAGCTAAAAAACGTGATCACATTTTGATCACAATGTTATGTGACCATGCACAGGTAGCAAGAACGGTATTTGCAATCCAGGGCTTGCCTTCTAGTTATTGCCATTATATTCTGAGATGGAATAATTACTCAAATTTTAATCTACTTAATCCACACATTCAACTTTTAATCTACTTAACTGTTGTAGCAGTGCATGCATATCATTTAAATTTCTTAATCAAAATATCAGGTAGCAGAATATCTTATTGGAATTCAAGTATTATGAGACTAGTAATATTGATCTCATAAGAGTGTTGTGTGCGGTTGTCATGTCATGTAATTGAATTCAATTACACAACTTAATCTTATAACAGTTTTGCACAAATCTTATTTTCAAGTGTCCTGTGGAAATTTTTGTTATACTGCCTTGGGCTGTTGTCCTGAAACTCCACAGATCGTTCTTCTTATCCGTTTTTTTTTTTTTTTTTTTTTTTTTTTAGCCTGTTAGCATATCAGATTTCTTCAAACCATGTCTATGGAATTTTCTTACTAATCAGTAACTTAACAAGAAATTTTCAATAGATTTTTTGATGAGTATACTTAAAAAGGAAAAGAAAAAAAAAGGCTCTTAGCTCATAGCTAAGCTATGAGTTACCAGTCTTTATTTTAAAATACATAATTCTAGTGGTTATTCTAAATATCACCATTTTTATTTTTTTTTTTAAATCATCAGCTTGTTTTGGTAAACATAGAAAAAGAAAAGTGTAAAGACCTCAGATCAGCCATACCATTGTCTTTTGCCCAATTTTATCTAGCAATGAATCAAAAACATTGCATCTTTTTACTTCCTCCATACATGAGATATTCCTTAACTCTTGTCTTAACTGTACAGGCCATAAATGTATGTTAACATTGCTGCTTTTCTTATGAAATTTGTGTGATTTCTAATTCCCAGTTACCAGTATTCCTTTTTCATTGTCCTGTATTCTTCCAGTTTCTTTCAGTTTACTAAGTTAGACTATAGATACTTAACATTTTTTTATTTTTTTTAAAGCATAAAGCAACCCAATCTGCACTAAAGAAATCAGAAAACTTTTTGTGTCCTGTTACTGCTAACCACTGACGGAGACAATAAGGGTGATAAAAGAATGGTGAGTACAAATCTTAGGAATTAGATAAACAACATATTTTGTTTTAAATTAAAATAAAAACAAAATCACTATTTCCTGCAGGAAGATTGTTAGGTTACAAATGTTAATAATTAAAAACCCTGACACTTGGTCTTGCCTCTCTTGAACAGACTGTGTCTGTGCTTGCACACATGTCCTGAAAAGGTGTGGGGCAGTCATATTCAGAGTTTTTCATATCTCACAAGCCATCCACTAGCAGCCCATGAATCACAGGTTGAGCAAGTGTCCGAAGGGTGGCTGGATTGTGAAAGGCAGCTACTAAACCAGTGTTTTATAGATTAGGATGTCAATCTATGAACATTCACTTTTTTTTTCCTCTGAGCTGTACAGCAAAGTGGAAATGGCTATTACTGGTTGCCTGCTAAGTGAGGTGCATATCCCATTTCTTTCCAGTAAAACAATGGAGCTCAGCATTCAGCAACCCTCCTGCCAGCAGCGCTGGTTAGGCTGAGTTCACATTCACGAACGAGTCATTCCAGTTCCTCTTGTTCAGCACTAAGGCTCTTAAATGCCTGTTGAAAGAATTTTCTCCCATCAAATTGTGTGCTGCCTCAACTCTTTTTAGAAAGATATCATTTCTTAACATCTCCCCAGTCCTTTTGTTGTTAGGCTAACATAAACCAATATAGAAAAACTACCTGCTAAAAAAAATTGTCTCCCATCCAAACTATACACCTCTCTTAATAACAAAATGAATTAACTTTCCACGCAGACACACACAAAAGTTTTCTCTATCTCGAATTACTTGCCTAGCTACCCGTTCATTTCCAGTTTCTGCTTTCAAAGGAAGAACCTACTGAAAAGAAATCGCTGATCACTCTTGTTTGGCAACAACTTCCCACATTTTCTAAAATCATTACCCCTTGGTGAGATGTTCTGAAAAGAAGTACAGCACAGATTATAGACATGACCTGTGAGTCTTCATCCATTTTCTTCATAAGCCTATTAATTTCAGAGCTGCCTTTCAAGACTTTAGGACTGAAAAGCAGTTACAGCTCATGATTGTTACTTTACAAGAAAAACAGAATGTGGAAAAGGGGAGGTGGGTGCCATATGAAACACCTAGAAGAAGAGGAAATTGAGAACAGTGAAGAAGGCAAACAGGAAGGGAAGAAACTGGTACAATATGTAGGGCCCCTGCCATAGGAAAGCCAAGAGAGGAAAATGTAGAGGAAAGGCATCCAAACAAAGGAGGGTATATGAAGAAAGACAATGAGACCAGGATGAAGGCAGCACAAACAGCCTACAGCTGCCAAACATGCCGACTTCCACCAAGTTACATGCATGCCCATCAGTTCTCCACACCTCTGGCCGGCAGGAGAGTCAGAACCTCATGGTCCAATTCACCCCCTCAGCAAACTACATCCAGCATTGGATGTGCAAGAAATGCAAAAAACAGAGAACTGAGTGGAGGGGAAGGATCTCCCACCCCACCATGCCAGTAGCGCTCCTCTTAATGCAGCCCAGGATGCTCAGAGACCCAACAACACATTGCTAGCTCACGGTCAAGTTGATGGCCATCAGGACCCCCACATCTCTTTCTGCAAAGCTCAAAAAAAATCAACTTCCAGCTGACTGGCCCCTCAGGGGTACTGGGTTATTCCTCCTAGGCTGCAGGTCTTTGTGTTTCTCTTTATAGATCTGTCCCTTTTATAAAAATGTAACACAAATAAAAAGTTTAACCTGTGTATTTGATTTGCTTTAGGTGGTTGGAATATGGATTATTGCATTTTATCTCCTTGGCTCAGTAACAGGTGAGATATAACATCTATAAAAACAATCACTAAAAGATGAATTCAGACAAAATAATACAGAGGAGACAGTGACGTATTTTACATTGAAGTCATAGCATGATTTGTGTGTCATTGTATGGGAAAGTCTATTACCGTGCAGGACCTAATGCTAAAGGCTCCATCTCATTTCAGTTTCATTAAGAATACGAGATACATAACTTTATGCCAGAAATTCACAGAGGAGAACTGCAGTCATGTGCCCTAGCTCTACCAAGACGTTGCATAAGCTGTCTCTACCTGTTACTGCTGTTGACAAAGAATGGCTCAGTAATAGGGTACTTAGCACAACAAACAGTGCTAGAACAGAAAAGTTGAGCATGAGAGCAACAGACCTGTTTGATCTGGAAAATGATGATGTATTAAAAGAAAAGATCAAATCATTCACTATGCAAGGCTACTGCATACGTATCCATTCCTCCAAAGAGGCATAATGCTTTGATGCAGGAAGAATGTGGGAGCAATTCTAAGAAGTGTTTCTTAAAAGTCTTAAAAAAATAAAATAAAAATAAAAAAAAGCTTTTATAAGTTGAGAATATAATGTCAAAAATATATCTGGATCCCTACTTGTTTTTTTTATCTTCAAACTATATAGCTCCCCTCACGCTACCTGCTTCAGGCAATATCCATAAAGGAAACAAGAAGAAATCTCTTTCAAAATCAATCATAGAACAAAATCCTCAGTTTCCTGAGGACAGTCTTCAGCCTGTTGCAATCTTAAACATATTGTCTAGCTGTAATAGAGTCCAAAACATAAACCATTTGTTTCTTCTACTCTAGGTAAAGAAATTTGCTTCCCCAGGCTTGGCTGTTTCTCAGATGACCCCCCCTGGTCTGGGGTACCAGGGAGACTTCTGACAGGTTTGCCTGACTCTCCTGAACATATGAACTTGAGCTTCTCTCTCTACACCAGGGAAACAGGAAATAACTCACAGGTGACATTTATTTTTAACATCAAGAACTGACTAAAGCTACCACTGTTTGTTAATTTGTTAAAAAGCCTACATCATTCATCACAGGCAAATGAGTCGAAATAAGACACTAGCTTCAGTGTTCACTCATTACTGTTCCTTCAAACTGTTTGGGGGTAAAGCATAAAAAAAACGGTGAAGGAACTGTCAGATGGAACAGATTTCCTGGTATTTCCCTGCACAAGAAGTGGGTTATAGCAGACTACCTTTTGCATGTGTTTAGGTCTCTCAGGAAAGCTGGAATCCTGTTCAAATAAGCAGCTTTATGAACACTCAGACAGGAGAACAAGTGCTGATGTATTATGGGGAAGCTGTGCCATTGACTTCTAAAAACAGAAGTCTGAAGCAGGCCCTTCTCATACAATTTTCAAACCACATTCCTCCTTGAAGTCTGGGTGACTGTACACGCTTACCTGCCTCTGTCCGTACCAAAATTAAGACAGACCCATCCAAATTGTTCATGCCCTGAAATTCTGAGCCAAGGAAGGAGAAGGAACTGCAAGATGTGGGGCTGGGACTGCACCAATTCAGCAAATGCATGTGAGGCTGCTAAATCCCTTGCAGGCTCCCAAACCTAGTGTTCCCTGTTCCATACAGGAGCATTTATGAATCTACTGCCATGAAGTACAATGGCAGCACTGCCAGCACAAGCATCGCAGCTTACAGCAGTCCTGTTTGCCATGCTACGAGTCCAGCTCAGGCTCTTTAAGGATGAGAAGTTAACACCTGTAATAAACTTTTACGATCTGAAGAGCAGGGACACGTGAGCTCATGGCACACAGTCAGCATTGGTTACTCAGGCATTTTGGTTGTTGATAAAATAAATCAAAATGCACCTTGCATTACTTCCCAGCCACTGCACCTAAACATCTCCCTGATCTAGTGCACAGCCCTTCCACACCAAAACTCCCTGAGCTCACATCACAGGTGCTATATTTGTTTGAAAACAATGCAGATGGTCAGAGATCACACTCAGAGTAAGAGATATATATAATTAAGCAGCTTGTGGCAACATGTGGTGGACCAAGATCAGCTTCACCACTATTGCATACAGTTCTTGCATTAAATTCTTTCAGCCTTTGTGGAGTAGTTGGTTACAAAAACAGACAGGAAACATCCCCTGCCCAGAAAGACATGCTGTTTCTTAGATGCAAAGCATCACACAGACACCAAAGGTCAGGTCAGTAGAAGGGCAAGCTGAATCAGGAAGCATGGAGCTCTCCTTCTCAGGCCAACAGGCATCATGAGGCACTCTGGACTTTATATGGGGAGCTCCTGCTGCGTCAAGGAAAATAGACAGGAGCAGCAGAAACCACATTGGCACAACTTTGGAGACAGTGGTAGGACTGGGAAAGATGGGATAGAGAAGTGCCTGGGACTCTGCCCATTAAAAGGAGTTGTGTGAGTCCTACAAAAGGTGATGACTTAGATGACATTTTTAAAAAACTTAAAAGTGTGAGAAGATAAAACAACTTGATTTTTTGTTTGCTTGTTTACACACAGGTGATCTCAGCGATAAACTCCTCAACAATCCAAAACTCACATTTCTCCTCACGCAGGAAAACCTCCTTCATCATTCATGGATTTGGCAGCACTGGAAAATCAGGCTGGGTGGTAGAAATGTGCTTGGTATGAGACTATATCCTCTGTTTTCCTTCAGCAGTTGTAACTACATTCTGTTCTTATAATTTAGACACCAAGGTTCACCTGCTATTTTGTAATGCATTAAATAGTTTCAGATACCAACCAAGAAATTACCAACCAAAGCTAAAATATTCCCATTCTGCAAGGTGCTGTGTAGTCACAGCTTCTTGCTCAACTCTGACATTGTGCTTCTCTAGAGAATTTTCATCTCCAAAACCCTACAAAGCAGATCAAAGCAACAAACTGAACACAGATGTCCCCAGCCTCTACACTGATGTCAGAATATCAGAATATCAGATTAGGCCAACTCACTGTTTCTCCCATCAGGAACTATTGAACCACCACTATTCGATTTGTAAAGAAAAAAAAAAGAAAAAAAAAAAAAAAAAAAAAAAAGAAAGACAAAGCTTTCTGTTTGATTAATGAGTGCAAAGGAAAAAAAAAAAAAAAAAAGAAAAAAAAAAAAAAGAAACATCAAAAATGAAGTACCACAAAAGAGAGCTGCTGCCCTCTGGCCAGAGGACTGTATGGTGGTGGTGTCAGCCTTGGTTCTGGCAAGGCAGAAAAATTTTCTGTGGTTTCTGCTTCCTTCACAAAGACAGGAAAAGACCGCCACTGAATGCTAAGTCACAGTTCTGCAGCATTATTTTTGTTCGTAAATCTGTGAAAACTTTAAATCTAGAATATTACATATCCAAATTTTCCAGTGGAAAAGAAACACCAATTCTATCTGCCTAACTAGAAGCATTTCCATGGTGTACCTAACGCAGAGGATTCAAGCTTCTGCTTTCTTTGGCATTCACCTTCAACTGTTTACCATGCATTATTTTTTGTTTCTATTCCCTGATCCTTCTCAAACCTTACATAAGCTCTAGTCACAGAAAGCTACAGCTGCAGACTTTAATACATGATTCTTCTAGTGGAAAAATCACCGATCTCTGCAAGGCTGTGGCCAGTACAGAAGTGACAGATACATTAGGTATATTTGCTCAAACAGGAACTTTCTAGTCTGCTCTGAACCTTTCCAATCTGACATGACTTTCCAAGTTTTAAAGATACTTGGTAAATAAGTCCACTTCCAATACTATTTAGTTAAGCTACAGATGATTCTTAAAGAAAGTCACATAGTGCACGTAACAGCTACTGTGCTGTTGTGTGGCTTTTCCAAATCACATTAAATATGTATTCAAATGTCTTATAGTAAAATATTTTTGATTACAGTCTTTCAAACTTGAGACTTTGATTAATAGTTTGTTGTATTCTGTTTTATAAGAAGATTCATTTTTCTCTGTGGTACAGGCTACAGTGAAGACTTCGATTCAGTAATGAATGAGAAATTGCATGATTATATTACCATTTATTGTTTATTTTGATTTAAGTTTAATTCCTGTCTGCTATTTAGTTTCCTTAAATGCTTTGCTTTATGTGTTCCCACCTCAGCTGTTACTGGAAGCAGAAAACGTGAACTGCATTGCTGTTGATTGGAAAGAAGGCGCAAAAGGCACCTACGTCAGCGCAGTGAACAACATCCGCGTGATTGGAGCCGAGGTTGCTTATTTCATAAAAACTTTACAGGTAAAAGATACAGCTCCACAACACACAGTTCTTAAGTAGATGCAGAGGGGTTATGATATTTCTTTGATTTTGCACTTCATCTAGTACGGTCAGCTACTGCTTCAGAAAGAGCTGTACAATGCATGCAGTTGAGATACAGCTAATTATACTAATTATCAGCTCTGTAAGGACTTCTCACAGCCACAAAAGACACCAATTAAGCTAATGTAGTTGAAAAGAGGTGTCAATTAATTAAAGACCAGTAGGTGGCAACATTTCCGTACGATGTTACAGGTAAGAAGGCGTTCAGTGGCAACGAGGCAAGGCACACGTTCAGTGCTTACAAGAGTCTTTACCTGAATAATTTACTTCTAGCACAAGTATATCAGCACCTCAGCAGCACTGAAGTGATGTGGAGCTAGAAGCACCACAGAGATTCACTTGGTATTTGCTGTCTACAGGCACAATAAATTGTCCCGTTGCCTTCTAGTTGTGAGCTTCATGTTCCTGAAGGCAAGCGTTCACTTTTACCAATATAGCACAGACTGCTCAGCTGCAAAGTTTAAGAGTACCACCACGTCCCACTGACTTCAAATGGACTTACAAGTACTTAAGGCTGCTGAAATCATCCCCTATTTGGCTGCAGACTTGATGCTGGAAACTAGGCAGTCCTTGTGTTTTAGAGATATTCCAGAGACCACAAGGCCACATACCAACTTCACGAATACTCAAGTACCAAAAACCACTTCTCTAGAACCAGCTGAGGTACAGTCTGCTGTTTCTACCTGGGAAGGCCTCATATCTAGACTCACACTGCTGTTTTTGTCTTTCTTCTTTGTATGCAACTCCCAGGTCATTTGACGATGGTTCAGTTTATTACGTGATCTCTGTCTGCCTATTTCCATTTAATATCTCTACACTGCAAATGGTGCGGTAATAAAACTCTTTTTTTCCATTACAAAACTGCAAAAAGTAATCCTTAATTTTTCTTTTCCACAATTTACAGATTTGGGAATTTTGGCTTTAAGCAAAGTTAAGCTGCATTGTAAATAGAAAAATTACAGTAAAAAGTAATTGAAGGTATCTTTCACTTGATAGGCACAGACAGATCAATAGTAAAGATTTGCCTTTTTTTTTTTTTTTTTTTTTTTTTTTTTGGTATATACATTACAAAAGAAAACTTAGTGTAAAAACCTCAAGCAGTTAGCAATCAATCCTTGTTGACTTTGGACATTACAAACCCAGGATATGCCTGGCTGAAATGTGTCCCCTGCAGGCAGATTACATGCTCATTAATTTCTACTGCTGTCTTCAAAGCATGTATAACAGCTGAGAAGTGCAGGTCCTGTACAGGTGACTCTTGGCAAAGATGCCAAACCCCTAAGCCTGTCAGTGAAGGTACTATTGAGTGACATGATCACATTTGCTAAGCAGACCCATGGAGAATAGTTGCATGATGAAAGAGGGCTCCATAACAGTGTCAATAAATAAAAAACAAGATCATATTGTTGGAACTTTAAATTAGGGCTTAATCCAAATGAGAAAGAATTTTCATATTTTGTCACCAAGGGTAACTGAATACAGTAACCATATGCTGAGGCTATGATGGTAAATCCATCATCGTGAGGCATTTAAAATTCTAGATTGGGCATTTTTCTTTCAAGTCTTAGGTTAATTTAAACAATAATTAATTCAAGCAGCTCACACACTGTTGGCTAAGCAAGAAGTCAGCCAACAGGCTCGCAAAGGCCCTCAGTGTAAGGCACCCTTTTTGCTCACTACTGAAAGCCTCTGTTCTTGTCTCCCTCCACAACGATCAGAAACTCTTCAGGTACTCCCCTTGTGAAATCCATCTAATTGGCCACAGCCTGGGCGCACATACAGCGGGAGAGGCGGGAAGGAGGATTCGAGGCATCCGGCGGATCACAGGTAGGCTGCTCACCGAGGGGCAGATATAGCAGGGATGCTTCTAGTGGAAAGAAACTTGCAGCACTCTGGTCTGTAGACTGGAATTAAACCATTGGCGGTGCTGCAGGCACCATGTATGAATAAACAAACTTTAGGCTTCTCAGAAACAAGGGTAATTATTAAATCTTTTTTTTCTCTAGTTAGGTTTAAAACTATTTAGCAGATGAGCTCTTAGTATGTTTGCAACATCACAGTCATCCACTGGGTTGCATCCAGCAGTATACGACGACAAAACAACACATCCAAAAGCCTGTTTTCCTCTCCATGATGCTCAACAGTCCAGTAACAAAACCACTGATAATAAAATGCCTCCTTCACAGTAATACAATGCTAATATATATCCTATTAGAAAATATTTTGCTTATAATAGAATGAGTCTGTAGAAAGGTTCACAAAACCATGTTTTTGTGCACCATAACTTGTGCCATATTAAATGTCTGATGTTATAAATTGGCAAAAGGCATTAATATGTAACTTTTCCCTCTCCTGATCCCAAATTTCTTTATTTTTTTTTTTGTTAAAGGTTTGGACCCTGCAGGGCCCTATTTTGAAGGCACTCCTCCAGAGGTGAGGCTGGATCCTTCAGATGCAAACTTTGTTGATGTTATTCACAGTAATGCTGCCCACTTTCCTGCCATAGGTAAGAGTTCATGTGCAATCAAGTAGCTGTAGAGATGGGCACGTTGCATATGTACCTTGAGACTGTGACACAATCGTGTATGTATCCTAGGGCTTGGAATGTACAATGCCACTGGTCACCTTGACTTTTACCCAAATGGAGGAACTGTAATGCCTGGATGCACTGATTTAATTCCAGAGATGAAACAAAATGATTTTGAAGCTCTTATTGCAGGTAAGCATACATTCCCAACATGCTCAGTATTTAATTTTCATTCAATTCTGAAATGCAAACTGTGAAAATAGCTATTCTTTTGGAAGAAAACAGTAATATATATATATATATATGTATTTTTGCCTGTTTACTTATAAGCAGAAATATAAAACGAGAAATAAAGGCTAGATCAGAACAGAGCTACTCAGGAAACACTGCAGGAAAAGTAGTAGTCAGAGGCATCAAAATAGACCTCGGTTTTGCTTCTGCAATTTGAATTGAACCTGCAGAACACAGAGAGGCAAGCTCAGCCCCACAACAGTGGCACTTCCAACAGGACACTTTCTAGGCTGAGGGTAGCCAGTGCCATTGCTAAACCTGCAGCACAACAGCACTGCACTTGGTCCCTCACTGATGCAAGGAGCATCCAGAACCCTGAAGGTATGCAATAGGCAGAAGCACACAGCATTGTCAGGGACTGTGGGCACCTCACACCTCCACCTGAGACCTTCTTCAGGCTTTGGAGTGGTTGGCAGAAGGCTGAGGAATTCTCTTTGTTCTACTAAACCTTTTAAAACTGTACTTAATGTCACTTGCTGGGACATCATATATTCAGACAGCTACGTATACGTGTGTGTGTGTATGTATATATTACTAGGCCATGCTGCTGTTGTATTCCATGTCTCATGATAAGGCAAGTACAAGTCTTCTACAGGATGACAGGAGGTTATTACATGGATGCTCACAAATTTTCTCCCAACAGATGCTACTATTTTTGGGGGATGCCATCACTCACGCAGCCATGAGTATTATTTTGAAAGCATCCTCTATCCCACCGGATTCGTTGGATATCCCTGTGAATCATACAAATCCTATGAGGCAGTAAGTATATCGGCCCAAGAGTGGATGAAGTCCAAAGAAAATAATCAAGGCCTCTGCACTCAGGATAGATCACACCACATGCACAGAACACTTGGACACATGTGGTTCTGCTCTCACATCACCTAGCCAGCAGCAGACCTGAGCTCAAAAATCAACTTGGGCAGTGCAAGTTAGTAGGAGGAGGCACAGCACACAGGGGCTCCATCAACTATTTTGCTTTTAAAAAATGAATGCACAGATGAAACCACCAAAATAAAGAGAAAAATAAAAAATAAACCCCATGCAATTCTCACCCTAAGCCTTTATGCAAAGAGTGTATAGGCTCTTGGCATACTAACCCTACTAAGTCCTGGCTGGAAGAAGAGATATTTGGAGCTTCCAAAAGCCTTTTTGAAAAGGCTGTTCTGGAGAAAAAAAAAAATATAAAAAAATGCCTGTTCTAATTTACACTGGGCACTGATTAGAGCACCTGAATAAATATGCTTACAAAAGAAACTTAAAGTACATATGATTCTTTTGTCTCCTATGTAGTGTTGCAACATGGATACAGGCATGTTCCCTTCCACTGATAGGGTAAATTGGACTTACATTTCATCCTAAACTGTAGCTGAAGAATAGGCTCCCCAAAAATAGGGAGTTTCATGTACACAGGTATCATATCTGCTGATTCCACATGTGCTTGTGTGCATGAGTACATTGCCCATTATCAGGTTTTGGTGGTAAGATATAACAGCATACAGCAGTGCCCCAGCTTTGCAAGGTTAGAACAGAAACCTTAACTGAGCCTTAGTTTTGTCCAAGACAGGTGAAAACCATACTCCCCTCATTAACCGATGCTCATATCTTTCCTAGGGAGAATGTTTCCCATGTCCCCAAGAGGGGTGTCCGATGATGGGGCACTACGCTGACAGATTTCCAGACAAATTTAAGAGAGTAAACCAAAAATATTTTTTAAATACAGCAGCAGATCCACCTTTCACTAGTAAGTGGAGAAGGTTTGTTACAGTTGTTCACGTTTGAAAAGTTATTGCCTTGATACGATTTACAGCCATGCTCTTCTGTTACTTCTATAAACACCTGCTAAGACCTCTGCCAAAAACAATGCTGCATCACATCATCATCTTTCAAACTCAATGAATCTTTCATTAGCTAGCATGAATGAATTCTGGAAAGGAAAAAAGAATTTTCCAGGATGCTAGCACTTCTAATTCTCTCCTATCAATGACAATCCAGTTTTAATCTGCTGTTCTTACGCAGGTTGGAGACAAAAAGTGTTTATCAAACTGTCTGGTGTAAAGAAAATGAGGGGGGACATAAACCTAATTTTCCATGACACAGAGGGGAACAAAAAGGAATATGAAATTGCCAGGTAAGATAAATTAGCATTGCCCTATAGCATGTAATACTGATAACCTTAATCTACACAGTTTCCAGATATTTGAGCAGTGTAAACCCTTATTCTTTGTTGCAGACAGTCTAGTTAACATTAGCTATGAAAAAAGTTATCCTGTAGTTAAGACCTAAGGGAGCAGAAGGATGGTTGTGCCAAGAAGTACAAGTCACGTCCTTTTCATGCATTCTGTGACTTTACAGCGAATTAGGAATGCAGCCTGACGGAAGTGCTGTTTCTCTGAATTGCTCATTAAAGGAAAAAAGACTGCACCTCTTGTATTCACGTAATTCTGACTGCGCTCACCTGTTTCATACGCATGTTAGCGCGACCTCTCCCATGTCAGCACGGCATCACACACATTAACACAGTCACCCAGGTGCTGATAAGGCTCCCTGTGCTGCCAGTGACTTGCTGTACGCTCTCCTGCAAGGCTATCCTGTGCCTGACCTTGGGTTGCAAATTGGATGTGTGTACTTCCTTCCTAGATACATTAAAATCCATCACTATGATATAAATATCACATTTACATGTATATGGTCTGGACAGTGGGTTTCATTCATAACTTATAATCTCTGTTGGCTATCCAAATCACAGCCCTCACTGTCTTCTGTACCTGCTCTGAAACAAGCGCTTCCACGTGCTCTCCCATGCCCCTCTGTGTGTGTGTGCAAAGCAGAGACAGAAGTTCCCAGCTTATCTATATAATCATCCCTGAAAACCTCACCCAGAGCCCTCCCTACTTGCAAAACCCAGTGCTCAGGTGCTGAAGGCACACAAACCCCAGCAGCCATCTCCACCTCACCCTGATCATCTCCTGGTTCTCTCCTGCCACATACCCATTAAAACTTTTTGGGATTGTTTTCGTCCTCTCCCTGTTCAGCACATGCCTACAGGGTCCCAGTCCAGCACCCTATGCTGTTGGAAAGTACAGCAACAAAGGGAAAAGCCTGATCTTGTGGAGAACAAAACTTAGTCCAGTAGTCTCTAAACTATTACATTTATCCTCACTGTCTTCATTCTGTTTCCAGTGGAGCCCTCTCTGAAGACCAGGTTTATACAAAATACCTTGATGTTGAAATTAACCCCAAAAATACTGCGAAAGTTGAATTTCTCTGGAATAAAACCTTATTCACTCTGCTCTGGGCAAGACTGGGAGCAGAAACAGTCAATATAATTCACGGAGAAGATGGTCGTCGGTAAGTATGTCCTTCCAGAAGGTCCGAAGGAATGGGAAAGGAGTGAAAGACTCTGGGAGACAGGATTAAAAAATGGTCTTGATAAACCTGACACACAATGTGCAATCAGCAATATGAATTTCAGTTATGACAAGGACAAGGTCCTACTCTTGGGATAGAAAAGGAAATATTCAAATACAAAATGGTGAATAATCGTCTGGAAAAGAATCCAGTAGTAAATAATTTGGGTACTATACTCTGCCACAGCAAAACAATTACAAACCAGCACCACAGTGCTGTTGAGATAAAGCAAGTCTCATTCCCAGGTGCATTACCAGGAGTACTGCATAGATGATCAGGGAGGAATTATTTTAATTTAAATGGCTGGGCTGAGAATGTAGCCAGAAGTAGGGTCATTTTCAAGCTTGGGGTGTATATTTCAGGTACTATGCACGCAGAGTGAAGTTCAGAAAAAAAGCAAGAGTAAGAGATTCAATAGAGATGGTCTGTGTAAGCAGCTGGAGGAAATGTATCTTTAATCTATACAGAGAGGCGTGGAGAGGGGCATAGAGACAGATGGATAAGCTGTTTTTGAAGGACCACAGTTTGCTGTTCCACACATCTGCTGGCTTAGGTCAAGAAGTAATTGATAGATTTCATAACAGAGAAAATATATGTTAGAGTATTTTTCTAATATTTCTTATTGTTTGGCATTGTCATGGATTATTTAGACAAGAATTGAAGCCCTTTTACTGTTAGCTCAAAAAAAAAAAAAAAAAAAATTGGCTGTGACAGTCTAGTAAAATGGCTGGTGTCAGTAAAGCGTACTTACAAGATAACTTTCTGGGTTTTTACCTGGAACGCTATTTTTGTGAATCTAGAGATGAATTATATCCATCTTTCAAAACCCAAATTTTACAGCTTTTCCTCATAAGAAGGAAATTTGCCTTGTTACTGCTAACATGTGAATGCTGATGGGCGTTTAGAAAGGTTTAAGTGGGGTTATGGAGCTAACTAACAACCCCCAAGGTGAGGGTTGATATCTTCCTTTGTGTGTGTGTGTGTGCACACAGGCGTATAAATAAAACAGATCTTGAATGATGCTGTTTTCCTTCTCAGGTCAACTCTCTGTGGCCGTGGAACTGTGACATATGGAGTTCCCCAGCTCCTTACACCTTGCTAGAGGGCACCGAGTACAACCGTTCTGTGCGCTGCAGCTGTGTAAACAGTCGTGTGTGGCAATGCTGGTGCTCAAGGCCATTAAAGGGAATTCTCAAACTGACTTGTTGCTTCCTCTTTTTTTATCTTCAGTATTTCCAAACACATTTGTCAATATCTTCTCATGTTGAAGGCACATTTATTGCACTCATAACTAGGAAGCAACTGAAAATCTTGTATGGCAAAACCCATCTCTAACACTGGCACATTCCTACTCTAACAGTGCCCCAAGAAAAGCAGGTAAGGACATTTTCCCCACTGTGCTGATGGCTTGCCAGGTTTGCTGCCTGCAGAACCCACTCTGAGCAGCAGGAATTGTCTCCAGTGCCTCCATCCTGCAGCTGATGATAGGCTTCAAAATCTTGCAACACCACACCTGAGCACTGCTCCCAAAAGACACAGTGGGACAAGGGAAGAACAGAACAAAATGACTTCAGCAAGTCAGAGCAGCCTCTTGTACACCATACCTTCACGGAGGCACTAGGCAAAACTAAATAAGCTCATCCCCAACACCCAGGGCCACTGAATAGCCTATCTGCTCAGCTCACTCAAGGAAGCTGTGAGCCAGACACAACTGCTCTCTCCTGCAGTGAGCACCCCTTGAGCTCAGTGTTTCAGGACGCTTCATTCCCTCCACCCTCACCTTTCATTTCTTTAACTACAGTTGATAGGACAAGAAAGAGCTCTCCTGTCAAGTTGAGGCTTCAATTTTTATGAGCCCAGGGTCACACCAACCATGTCCATGAACTTCTGCGTCTCCCTCGCAACAAGTGGTTTCTCTCCACTACTCCCAGGTAGCACTTTCCTGCTCCATCTGTGCTGTGAACAGCCTGGTATTGCAGTGCCTCCAGGAATGGGGACTGCTTCTCAAACTTTTGCCTAAATGAAGCATGGTATCCATTAATTTGGATTCAGCTTCATGTGATACTGCTCTGTGGTCAAATGTCTGAGAATTATAGATGAGCTAGTTCGGATTCCTACATATATTTATATATGTAAATACAGAGAGAATATATAATTTCTTCCAGATAATTTTATATTTAGCATGGTAACTTTGATTACACCGTTTTTTTGCTAGAAAACAACAAGTCCTAAGAAGTGTTTATAATCATTCCATAGGGAATTTGAATAACTCCAGGCTTTGCAGAAGCTGGGACCGACTGTTTCACATTAAAGTGAACACTACTGCTCTGCAAAGCATAGCATGAATGAGCCACCTGGAGCTTTAAGAGACCAAGGCAGTATGTACTTTCCCAAGCACAAAACCCAAACTCTCAGTAAAACTGAGTTTTACTAACTAGTATTCTAAACTAGTTAACTAGTTTTCTAAAACTATTTTTTTACTAGTTTTCTTTCCATTCATTCTTTCCCATTTCCCCATGTTTGAGAAATGATGTAGAAGCATTTGAGTAGATAAACTTCCAAGAAATATCAGTAGAAGTATAACATTGAGAGCGTTTATGATGATGTCATTAAAACAAAACAAGACATCAGCCAGTGTAGTATTGACTAAACACTAACCAAGCCTGTGGGAAATTATGAAAGCACAATTAAACGCAAGGCTGAGGTTCAGCCAGGAGAGCTCTGCAGCCACCAACACTACAAGTCACTCAGGGACCTTACAGGTAGCAAAGGAAGTGTGAACAATGCCAGGAAGCCCAACAGCACATTCCAGAAGCAAGCTGGGGCCTTCCTGTAGCATGTGAAATCCATTCCTCTCATGGGTCTCCTTCAGGCCCTCTTCCTACTTCAGACAGCAATCCCTTTCATTCTAAAACATAGCAGAGTCCTTATTTGACACTTCCTTTCTCAAAAGGCATCTTTTTTTCCAATAGTCCCTGAATTGGGAGGCCTCAAGGGCCAAAGCAGCTCCTCCAGGCACAGAGAGCAACTCAAGCCATGCATCCCATCCCCACACCCTCTAACTAAAGGAAAAGCAAGCACCTGAAACCCAGCTGCCCACGGACTACAGATTTGTGTAGTTATTCAGTTTGTCGTGTTTTATTACGGTGTTGACAAAGAGAAGCTGAGTAATTATGATAAAAACCTAACTCAAATCTTTTCCACTGGCTCTTAAGTTAAATGGGCAAGACAGTTCCCACCTCACTCTGGACAAGTATTTAGCAAAACTTATCGTGCTGCAGGGCATTTGCTGATTCTCCCATATCACTCACTGATAGGAACATACAAATTAAATTGCTACTTCAGCTAAGGATGGAAGCACTGTGCTCTACGTTACTATCAAAAGTGATGTTTTAGGAAAAAAAAAAATTAAAACTTTGTTATTATTTAAAGAAATAAAGCCCTCTAGCATGGATGATAGCAGTGTGATACCCACGCATGCAGCTGGTATCCATTTGGTCATTCCCAGAGGTGAAGATTAGGGAATGTCAAAAAAAAAAAAAGTGACAAAGCTTTCTAGGTGAAAAGTTAACTGAGGTATCATTTATTTTTTTTCCTTGAGTCTGCTTATGTCCTTCTCCTATGGAAGAATAGGACCAAGGGGTTCCCAGGCCTGGCCTCGTTCATTTGCACAGATTTTCTTTCACCTTTTAGCTGATGTCTTTAGGAGAATGAGCTGGTGAACTCTGTAATACTGCTACAAAACACAAAGCAGCCACGTCCCAACATCTGGGGCAATTCCATGTGTAATTGGTATACCTTTCAGGCATGTTTGCTCTCAGCTCATCACTTAGAGTAACCACCTAGCAGACCCCTAAATGCCACCTACACAACACTAAAAACAAGAGCCTTCCCAGTTAAGACAAGCCCTTAAATGAACTGCCCCCTATACCCACGTATTTCTTTCTAATGTGCTATTCCTAATGAATTGTTGCTTGGGAATTATGTTACTTCTGGAGCTCCAACCCTATTCTGGACTCCAGCACACCAATTCAAGGGATCAATGTCCAACAGTTTTGGACTTCACAGAGAAAACAGTTATTAAAGCCATTTTACAGCTTAACTATAAACTATAATCTGAAATAAACAAATTTTCCCTATCTTTCCAGGAACATTTCCAAGGATAAGGCAAACTATAAAGTGCATGCAAAGTTCGCTCTGTCCATGGAGTTTCAAGGCTGCACCGTAAGTAGCTCAGGTCTGGGGCAGGGCGGGTGGCTTTTACCATGTCAGGTAAATGGCTTCCTAATACACGACAGTATGGAGGGGAATAGTAGCACATACGGGTGTCCTTATGCTGGTTCTAAAGTAGCTGGTATGCATCCTACCAGCAGAGTAACCCTAACAGAACAAAAATCACTCCGAACTTCAGTCATGTCTTTAGTAGATCTTGCAGTAGATTTTTAGTAGAATTTTAGTAATTTTGTTAGTACGATTTTTATTTTATTTTTTAAAGCAGATTTTTAATAGATTTTGCAGCACCATGATCTCAGCTGGAGCCAGGCAAAGCTGACTCACATATGTGGCGGTCAGAGGTACAGGCTGCAGAGAAGACAGACCAGGGCCACTTTCACAGTGAGAAAAATCAGCACCAATAAACTAGATAGGTGTGCTAATCAAGCCAGGTAGCAAATCCTAGCTGCTTCTTTTTCTACTGTTCTAGATGTTTGGAATCGGGATATTTGCGTTACTCCTGCTCAACACAGCCAAAGGTAAGTATATAAGCTATTGCCCTTCCTTTCTCTACCGAGCTACATTGCTAAGAAATTATTTGTTGTACTCTTCTTTAGTGGTGTCAGTGGGGAAAAAAGCAAAGCAGTTCAGTAGGTGCACAGCTTTATATTTGGCGGAAGTCACTGGTTTGTAAGATTTCTCATGTAGTTAGCTGCTCAGCACAGTCTCCAGTTACTGCTGATTATTTGCATTAGCTTGGTTTGGTGTTAGGAGAAACTCATCAGCTGTCTTTGCATTAGGCAAAATGCAGCTGAGGAAAGATACCCAAGGTATGGTACAGGATGCCCCCAGGAGAATCCCGCTTAATACTTTTTATGTGAGCAACAGGGTGACTTCTTTCCTTGGGGTAAACTATAGCTTTTGAGAGCTAAGACAGGACATCTGCTGACCTTTGCTTTACGTAATCTGTAGGATTTTCAACAGACTGAGAGACCTCTAGAGAAAAGTGGCTGTATGTTATGATTAGTCTGCTCTTCCATACTCATTCAGAAATTCACAATCTGATCTACATGTTACAGGATCAGAAGTTTGCTATGATAGGCTGGGATGTTTCACGGATGATGTACCATGGTCTGGGACTGTGGAGAGACCAATCCGTAAATTACCCTGGGATCCAAATAAGATAGATACCCAGTTCCTCCTGTACACAAGAGAAAACCCTAATAACTATCAGGTAAGAACTGTTGTGCTTTAAATGTTGGTAAATTACATGAAAAAAAAAAAAAAAAAAGGAGTAAACAAACACAGAGTTCAACTAACAGTGTTCCTGAAAAGTGTTAGGAATTGCCTTTTTTTTTTCCCCTCTAAGAGGGAACCTCTTCCAGCTGCTTGGCAAGCTCTCTGGGGCAAAATTTTCTCTCTCCTTTTTTATTTATTTTTTTTCCTACAGCAATATAGCCCTACCAACCCTTACAGAGCTGCGCACCCTCATATTTTCTATATGCCCACTGAAAAGTACTGCAAAACAATCCATTTTTTAATGTTGGGTGATTTATTATTTTTTTCTCCACAGATAAGATGAAAACATACTTGAAAGAAAGTTTTGGCTGCTCTGAGATATGTGTCAGAGCTTGCTCTGAGAGGAGATACAGACCTTAAGCCATAGTCATGTAAAGTTAAGCTCATCTGCAAGGGTTCACTAAACTTTTAAACACCTATACAGAGGAACACAGTTTAGCTCCTCAAAGTTTTGATATATTTTTATTTTATTTTATCTTTACATAAAAGAGATTTAGAACCTTATTCATGTAATATCTACAACAGGCAATCTCTGCAGTTGACTCCGCAACAATTGGGCACTCAAATTTTAAAACAAACAGGATGACAAGATTTATTGTACATGGATTTATAGATAACGGAGAAGAAGCCTGGCTGTCAGACATGTGCAAGGTATGTACTGCATGGAA